AGTTTTTTTTTTTTTTTTTTAAATTAGTTTTTATGCTGAAAACCTACTTCCAATTTTTATACTCAATTCGCTTTACAGACCCACCCTTTAATTTAACCATCCATTCCCCTCATTTTTTTTATTCTTCAATTTTTACTTTTATTTTTCCTCATTTTTGGAATTGGGGTGAAGGAGGTGGCATGGTGTTTTGATATGAAGAAAAAGAAGAATGTAAAGAAGAAAAAAGAAAATGAAAAGAAAAATAAAAAGATTCTGAAGGGGAGTGGGTCAGGAATAGGTTAAATTAAGGGTGGATTTGTAAAGGGGATAAAGTATTAAAATTGGGGGTTTTTCAGCAGTTCATGCGGTGCCACGTTTACCTCCATAAGATTAGGGGTAAATTTGAGCAGTTGTATAAGGGCACGGGTAGCTGTAGACGAATACTCACATGGAGGATAATTTTATATACTATTTCCGACAGTACATAGGTATATTTAACCCTTTTTCCGAAAGTAAAAGGATAAGCTTTTTCCAATTATTCACTACGATGAGCTGTCAAAGTACATGAAGCAAAAGGCACACCAAACACATACCCTACATGAATTTATCGTTTATTTCGGTCCCTTTCTACACTCCCAACTACCCTTCATCTCTTGCCTCAAATTTTCAGCTCAGAAAGTAATGAATATTCAAGAAAGAAGACCCCATTATGAGGTCTTTGTTCTTTCGTTGGGTGAAAAGTCATACTCTTTAAAAAGAGAAATGACAGTTCTGTTTTTTCTTCTTCGTATGACTGTCAACTGTGTTAATAGCAAACATAATTGTACGAATTACAAGTAATTAAATCCACTGGCAAAAGAGAAAAAGATAAGGTCATTCAACAACAAGTTAGTGTACTCTGATCATTCTAGTTTGTATATTACTCTTAGCATTGAACAGGTAAAACTAAGAGCTTTCAGAAATGGATATTGGCTTAACAGTTGGTGGTGCATTTCTCTCTTCACTTCTGCAAGTTCTCTTTGATAGGCTTGCTCCTCAAGGTGAGCTGCTGAAGATGTTTCAAAGGGGCAAGCATGATGTTTTGCTGTTAAAGAAGCTGAGGAGGACTTTGCGTGGTCTTAAGATTGTGCTAAATGATGCAGAGAATAAGCAAGCATCAAATCCAAATGTGAGCGAGTGGCTTGATGAACTTCGGGATGCTGTGGACAGTGCTGAAAACTTAATGGAAGAAATCAATTATGAAGTTCTGAGAGTTAAGGTGGAAGGTCAGTATCAAAATCTTGCAGACACAAGCAACCAGCAGGGAAGTGACCTCAACTTGTGCTTGAGTGATAAATTTTTTCTTTACATAAAGGACAAGTTGGTAGATACCATTGAAACATTGGAGGAGTTGCAAAAGCAAATTGGCTGCCTTGGCCTAAATGACCATCTTGACTCGGGTAAACAAGAAACTAGAAGACTTTCAACTTCTGCGGTTGATGAATTTGATATCTTTGGTAGGCAGAATGAAATAAATATATTGGTTGACCGTTTATTGTCTGATGATGCAAATGAAAAAAAGTTGACTGTAATTCCTATTGTTGGAATGGCAGGTGTTGGCAAGACAACACTTGCAAAAGCTGTTTACAATGTTGAGAAGATAAAAGATCATTTTGATTTGAAAGCTTGGATTTGCGTGTCTGAACCATATGATATTTTTAGAATAATAAAAAGGTTACTTCAAGAAATTGGTTCATCCAACTTGTTGGTTGATAACAACCTAAATCAGCTTCAGATCAAATTGAAGGAACACTTAAAGGAAAAAAAGTTTCTTATTGTTTTAGACGATGTTTGGAATGACAACTACAACGAGTGGGATGACTTGAGAAATTCTTTTTCACAAGGAAAAAATGGAAGTAAGATCATCGTGACGACGCGTAAGGAGAGTGTTGCCTTGATGATGGGTAGTGGGCCAATTAACGTGGGAACTTTGTCTACTGAAGTCTCTTGGCCTTTATTCAAAAGACATGCATTTGAAAATAGGGATCCTAAGGAACATCCAGAACTTGAAGAGGTAGGAAAACAAATTGCAAAGAAGTGCAAAGGTTTGCCTTTAGCACTAAAGACGCTTGCTGGTTTGTTGCGCTCCAAATCAGAGGTTGAAGAGTGGACACGTGTTTTGAGAAGCGAAATATGGGAACTGCCGGATAACAGCATATTACCAGCGCTGATGCTGAGCTACAATGATCTTCCCATGCATTTGAAGCAATGTTTTTCCTATTGTGCAATATTTCCCAAAGATTATCCATTTTGCAAAAAACAAGTCATTCAACTCTGGATTGCTAATGGTCTCGTACAACAGTTGCAAAAAGATGAAACAATTGAAGATTTAGGCAACCAATACTTTCTCGAGTTGCGATCAAGATCGTTGTTTGAAAGGGTCCAAGAGTCTTCTAAAAGGATGGTAGAGGTATTCTTAATGCATGACCTTGTCAATGATTTGGCCCAAAGTACATCTTTGAAACTTTGTATCAATTTGGAAGATAACGAAGGATCTCATATGTTGGAGAAAAGTCGACACATGTCATATTCAATGGGATATGGTGACTTTGAGAAATTGAAATCCCTCTACAAATTGGGAGAGCTGAGAACATTGCTTCCAATTAGTTTTGAGCTGGATAGTTTGTTTCCTCTAAGCAAGAGGGTGCTGCATAACATTTTGCCAAGTCTAATATCCTTAAGGGCACTATCATTGTCTCGTTATCAAATCAAGGAGTTGCCAAATGCCTTGTTTATCAAATTAAAGCTCCTAAGATATTTGGACCTTTCTCGGACAGAAATAAAACAGTTACCAGATTCAATTTGTGTACTGTACAACTTAGAGACACTTCTCTTGTCACACTGTAGTTATCTTGAGGAGCTACCCCTGCAGATGGAAAAGTTGATCAACTTGCATTACCTTGACATTAGTAGCACTTATCGCTTAAAGATGCCGCTACATCCAAGCAAGTTGAAAAACCTCCATATGTTATTGGGAGCTAATTTTTTTCTAGGTGGCTGCAGTAGTCTGAGAACAAAAGATATGGGTGAACTACATAACTTGTATGGATCTCTAACAATTTTAGAGTTGCAAAATGTGGTTGATAGAAGGGAAGCTCTGAAGGCAAGCATGAGGGAAAAGGAACATGTTGAAAAGTTAACATTGTATTGGGGTGGAAGTATTGCTGATAATTCACAAAATGAAAGAGACATACTTGATGAGCTGCAACCAAATACAAATACAAAAGAAATCCTAATCATTGGATATAGAGGGACAAAATTTCCAAATTGGCTAGCTAATCATTTGTTTGTTAAGCTGGTGGAGTTGTCTCTTGTTTGTTGCAAGGACTGTGATTCGTTGCCAGCTTTAGGAGAACTTCCTTCTTTGAAGTTTCTTGCCATTATGGAAATGGATCGAATAGCAGAGGTGACTGAAGAATTCTATGGTAATTCGTCCTCCAGAAAGCCTTTTAACTCTCTTGAGAGGCTTGAATTTGCAGATATGCTGGAGTGGAAGCAGTGGCATGTACTAGAAATTGGAGAGTTCCCTAGACTTCAGTATCTTTCAATTGAAAGCTGCCCCAAGTTGATTGGAAAGTTTCCTGAAAATCTTTGTTCTTTGACAAGATTGACAGTTTCAAAATGTCCTGAACTACTTTTAGAGACACCCATCCAACTCTCAAGTTTAAATGAGTTTGAAGTTGTTGGCTCTCCTAAGGTTGGAGTTCTTTTTGATCATACTGAACTTTTTACATCACAACTTCAGGGAATGAAGCAGATAGTTGAATTACGTCTTATTGATTGTCACTCTCTTACCTCCTTACCTATTAGCAGTCTGTCAAGTACGTTGAAGGAAATAAAGATATCTTATTGTGGGAAATTGAAATTAGAGCCATCAGTTAGTGAGATTCTTTCAAGCGGATGGAACATGCTTCTCAAGAGTTTGATACTTAAAGGATGTGATTCTATGGATGATATATCACCTGAGTTGGTTCCAAGAGCAGGAGAATTGAGAGTAGATCATTGCCACCACCTGACAAGGCTTTTGATTCCCACTGGGACTGAACTTCTGGATATTTCTGGATGCAGGAATCTTGAAATACTTTCGGTGGCATGCGGTGTTCAGATGATGTCATTGCGTCGTTTGGGTATTTTCAAATGCCAAAAGCTTAAGTCACTGCCAGAACGAATGCAGGAACTCTTTCCATCTCTTAAAGAACTGTTACTCGAAGATTGTCCAGAAATCGAGTCCTTTCCTGAAGGAGGATTGCCTTTCCATTTAGAAGTCCTTCGGATCGAGTATTGCCAAAAACTGGTGAATGGCCAAAAGAAGTGGTGTTTACAGAGATTCCCCTGTCTCACAGATTTAAGCATCATTCATGATGGTAGTGACGAAGAAATTCATTTGGAGTTACCTTGCTCAATTCGGCGTCTTACTATATACAATCTGAAAACATTTAGCAGCCAGGATATCAAGAGCCTCACCTCTCTTGAATCTCTACATACTGGTAAGTTACCTCAAATTCAGTCACTGCTCGAAGAAGGGCTTCCCTCGTCTCTCTCTGAACTAAAATTGTGTTACCATCATGAGCTCCATTTGCTACTGACGGAAGGTCTTGGACGCCTAACCTCACTTCAAAGTCTACGGATCATGTCCTGCAATGAACTCCGATCTCTTCCAGAGTCAGTGCTGCCCTCCTCCCTCTCTAAGCTGAGCATCTATGATTGTCCTAATCTCCAATCTATTCCAGAATCAGCGCTGCCCTCCTCCCTCTCTGTGCTGATCATCCAGATTTGTCCCAATCTTCAATCTCTTCCAGTAAAAGGGATGCCCTCTTCCCTTTCTGAGCTGAGTATTAGTTTTTGCCCTAATCTCCAATCTCTTCCAGTAATAGGGATGCCCTCTTCCATCTCTAGACTATCTATTTACAAGTGCCCGCTGCTCGAACCACGTCTAGAATTTGAGAAGGGGGATTACTGGCCAAAAGTTGCTCATATTTCCACCGTACAAGTCGACGGGGAACATCTGTGATGAACGAGTGGTGCTATAATAGATGTAAGTTATTCTCTAGACTATCTATTTACAAGTGCCTTTTTTTTTGGTAATGATGCATATATGAATGACCAGCAACAAGCATTTGATTTTCCTGGTCCACTTCACAGAGAGGATACCTGCTGCATATGATCAATCCTCTATCTGTAAGTTGCATTGTAAGCCGAACCTGAGACAAGCATTTCTTCCGACCAACCTACTGAAGCATTGTGTTCTGTATGGTGCACAGCTTTTCCAAATTTGTTTCCAAGGCCAAGATGAGACGGCGATGGAATTTTCCTTTGAAGGATGGAGTAGCATGACTTAACAGAAAAAAACTTCTTCTGCACCCTTTCAGCACAAGCACACACTATGCTGTTCCCAGTCATTGCAGTTCCTTCAAAAGTCTAAATTCCACCCATGATTGGAGTAATAATCAGCAACAAGAGCTATCTGATTGGAAGCCAAAGCAAAGAGGTCAGGGAACTGTTGTTTGAGAAGGGAATGACCCACCCAAGCATCATGCCAATGCTTATCTTCCTTCCATCTCCCAAATGAAAATAGGTGTTGCCTAGAAAATCCTCTTCTTGAGTAGCTTTTTATTTTTCATTTTTTCTCTTTGCTTGTTTGTAAATTCTTTTCCTTTGTTAAATCCTGTTGAGCAGTGCGTAGCTTCTATCTCCACTATGAAGCCAAGGAATCATCTTCAGATCGGGATGAATTTAATGTTAGATCATGCCAAAGTCAAGGTGATAAAATCTTTATAATCTCATTGAAACATTGTAAAAAGAATCTAATACAGATAGAATTGAAATAATTTGCTCCAGAAACTTGATAGATTAATATAATATTAATGAACTAGTAATCTTTTACCATATGCATATATGTCAGCCAGATGTTTGTTGTCTTTTGGAGATTAATCTCAATTTTAATTCATGTATTCTTGTTATATCTCTTGAAGATTTTTAGTTCATGCATTGCTTGAACTTTCATCTCAATCGCAATTTATGTATTCTTGTTTTTTCCCTTTATCAGGGAGTTGAGAAAGGAGGATATGGTTTAGAGTTACGTACATGCACTCTTGAATGCAAAGCTCTAATAGAATCAAAGGTGTGCGCGACATAAATTTTGTTACCTATCTATAAAAAATTTAAAAAGTTTGCTTCCCAATAATTTTACAACTAAAAGCATCAGCACTATATAGGCGATTATGTATGATTTTGGGATATCAACTTAGCAATTTTTTTCTTTCTTTGTCAGGATTTTGGTAAAAATATATAAGCTATTAGAGCTCTTGGCTCATTTGGTGAAAGTAAAGTTGTGCTAACATTCTCTATTGAATAGACAATCACCTCAACTGTGGTCTACCAGCAAATTGTAAGTGAAGAGAGGTACTACTTCTCTTTCATCTGTCTGAGAAGGAAATTTTGAGCAAACTTTTCTATAAGAGTCACTTCCTCTGTGTTTTTCCAACATCAATTAAAAAGACTAGTCATTTTTATCATCCAGTGCTATTAACTACCAGAAATTACTATTTTTTTTTTCAGCTTAAAATAGGTCTGCAGTTTTGTTATAGCTGAGTGTGACATTAAGCTTACATTGCACTGTTTATATATTGCTCCAGGTAATTCTTTGTTTATAGTGGATTAGTTAGCATATAGATTTGATGGTAGCTAGTCTGAGGCTTGGCTCTATTAACATTCATTTTCCTTGCCAAATTCCTCAGCTTAATAAATTTTACTTGATTGCACTACTTTCAGGTTTTCTTCCAAAATATCATAACAAATCCGTGAGCAGTGTTTGACAGAATGGAAACATTTTGCTTGAAGTATCTCCTAATGAATGAGTAAGGCATGCTATTCTTCACTCTCTTGATTAAAAAGAATGATTCATCCTAGTGCTTGAAGTTTCATTTCCAGTAGAAACTAGAAAGACATAAACTTGGTGGTATGTTAGAATGATGTATTTATCTCTTTGCCCTTAATGACATTCCATTATTTTCCCAGGATAGGAATAATGTTTTTCTCATTGTCAAACATATAGCTTTATCTTAAATCTACATATAGAAGTTAAATTCCAAAAGAAAAAAAGAAATAGAAAAGAGCAGATAAGCATCCAAAGTCTAAGAAAATAAGTATACTTCCATTGCCAGGATTTTATCAGTAACACAGCAAAAGCATGAATCCCTTTTCATGCTAATTCTTCTGTTGTTTTGCATTTCCGTATTTGCTTTTAGCCTAAGCGTGGGACGAATATTAACCTTGTCATTTGGAGCTTGATAAGCATGAAGATATGTTGTACTCCTGGTGATATGCAGTACAATACAAAGGTATATCAGCCAGAGCTTAGTCTTGTTTAGTTTTATATGCATGTCACCAGACAATCTTATAAAGTATGACAGCTCTTTTTAGTTTTGTATATATGTTATGGGAATTATCAGCTCTTGAATGGTTTTACAGCTAAGGAAGAACAACTTTTCTATTATCATTTAATTTGCAGGAATTTGATGCAAAATGATTTCTCCGCTTATGAGTCTGGAACTGCCTTGCTTAATTGAGAAGTTACAATTCGAATTAAAAAACCCTTTCTCCGTCAGTGGTGTACAACTCGAGCATTACCCTGTGCTCCAATCTCTTCTAGGAAAAGGGCTACCCTCGTCCACTGCTAAAACTGCATCTTGAAATTGAGGAAGTGAGAGGAGTGGCCAAAGATTGCTCAAACCCATTGTATGAGTTGATAGTGAACTCATTGGTGGTATTATTAAGGTAAATGATTCTCCAAATTAAGGTGTTTATTAATATTCGAGTCTTCTGTTTGCCAGTTTATTAATTGTTTTTCTATGCTAATATTCCAGACTGCCTTGTGTTATTTATTTCCATCGCGAAAGTTATTAGTCGCTCTATTCCCCTGCTTCTAGTCTCCAATCACTTCCGGTATGACATGAATGATTGTTTTAGCCTATACTGTGTGGACTCTTAAAGAAATGTCGTCGGGTGCGGGTGCGGGTGCGTGTCGGATTCTCCGAAAGTATTGTATTTTTGGAGGATCCGAGTGCGGCAACATTTTTGGAGAGTCCGAGCAACATAGATTTTAGCATAACCTCAACTTTTTTAATAGTATGTTTTTGCTTATTGTTTGATTATATATCGTAGCGGAAGCAATCACAGTATCGTATTCACGTGTAAATTAAACAATTAGCACATACGGAGATTATACGAGTTACCTCTTGAAGCGTGAACAAAGCAAATCGATATCCTTCTCCAGTTCCTGAATTGCAAGACCTCAGCAACCTTCCACAGCCTTCTATTGTGTTACCCAAATAAAAATCGGAAATAGAGAACTTCGGGTGGGCGAAATTCAAGGAAGAAAAACGTGTTGTTTTTCAGTGCAAAAAACGGCCAGTTATATACCATGTATTATAGCTACGTTTTTTAGGTCAAACCCCTTTTCTAAAACCTGTTAGGTTCTCTTCTTCCACTAAGGAAAGGTTTCTTTTATTTCCTATTATTCAGACACAGTAGGGATCACATAATTTAATTAACAAGGCTTCCTATTATGGAATTAATTTCGAAATTTTGAAATTAATTTCTACCATAATAAATTACGAATTATTCCACTAAAAATTCATAATTGCACTCCTTAGTTCAATTTCGAAATTCTTCCATAAAACCTTATTTAACTCCCCATGCGAAGATTTAGATACTAACCAATCAAATTAAATTACTGACAATTTAATTTATTGATCACTTCCTTTAGACTTTTACTTAACTTATTTCATGTGCCGGACACAAAATCTACCGACCGGATTTACACATGAAAACTTATAAGCTTTCATACAGGAGTATCATCAATCTCAAAAAATCGAGACATGGATTCTATCAACTAATTCTTACTTCGCCAATGTATGTTATTATTGTCCAACTTACCAGGCTTATTGACCCACGAAAGAATCTCGCCTTTTAATAAATCAAAACAATAAATGATATACACAACTAATAATAATTATATCAAGATTAAGAGTATAAGTATATTGAATGAACTAGAGAAATTATTTTATTAAGTCAGTATAAAATACCTATCTCTACTTGATCCGTTCAATACATACAAAATGTACTAGCACAAGAAGTTGGAATTAGACCATTCTCATAATCAAGATAAATTATATTTAATCTTGTGCTAGAACCATTCCAATGGCTTGTCCAATTCCATCATTAGTTTGTGAACATAAACTTTATGACTTATAAGAACCGATGATTTAATCTTTCGTGTATAAGCTAAACTCTATACACTAGATCATCTACTATATAAGCAACGGACACACAAACAAATACATGATCTATTTAAAATAAAACTTTATTGAATTGAATAAATAAATAAACAATTGTTCTATAAAGAATACTATAACAATACGCATAGTTTATAGTATATCCTAACACTTATCCCTTGTAGAAGTGCTTGAGAAAAGCTTAAGCGGCGGACAACTGCCTGCAGACATGCAAGTAAATCCAAAAGATCAAGGCCCGAAGTAGCTGATGGCAGTGAGTCTACGTAATGGCAGAGTATTAGACTTGGAGCAAGAGAGGGCCCGAGAAAGCAGACAGGCTGAGACACTCGTACCAGTGCCCATTGAGCTAGATGATTCAACGAAACTAACAGAGGTGATAGTGCAGCCTGCCCAGGAAGAACATAACGCACAGATTGAGGCTGAGAAAGAAACTGAGACAGCCTAGGAACCGGTAGTTGAGGTGGTGTCTGACAAAGAAAATACCCAAATCATTGGGAAGAAGAGACCTCCAGCACCATTCCCACAGAGGCTAGCCAAATACCAGAAAGAGGAACAATACAAGAAATTTTTGGACATGCTGAAACAAATCCAGGTGAATATTCCATTGATTGATGCGTTGAAGGAGATGCCTGGTTATGCAAAAATGATGAAAGACTTGATGTCCAGAAAATTTGATTTCCAAGACCTGGCCACAATGACTCTTACTCAGACCTGCAGTGCTGTGGTGACTAGACCAGTTGCTGAGAAGTTGTCTGACCCAGGGAGTTTCACGATTTCATGCACCATTGGTAACTTTGTTTTTGCCAAGGCACTTTGTGACTTGGGGGCTAGCATAAATCTTATGCCCCTGGCGATTTATAAGAGGTTGGGGATCGGAAGAGCTAGACCCACATCTATGTTGTTGCAGCTAGCTGACAGGACCGTGAAAAGACCCTCTGGGATCCTTGATGATGTATTGATTCAGCTAGGGAAATTTGTGTTCCCTGCAGATTTTGTGATTCTAGATTGCAAGGTGGATGAAGAAATTCCCATAATTTTGGGAAGGTCGTTCTTGGCCATGGGGAGAGCTCTCATTGATTATAAAACTGGGGAGCTCAATATGAGATTGAACGATGAGGAGATAACATTCAATGTGCAGAAATCTATGAGGCGACCGAGTGAATTCGCCAATTGATCTCGTATTGATGTCGTGGATGTAATCGTAGAAGCTGATGATGAAACGTTGACTATTGAGGACCCTCTTGCTGCATGTCTGGTAAATTTAGATGAGGTGAATGGGGAAGAATTGGCAGAATGGGTGTTGGCTTTAGAGGGCAGAGGGTTTTGGGATAGAACTCTTGAATTCGAGCCCCTACACTTAGAAAATAGAGAAACTCCTCCAGCCAAGTCATCCATAGAAGAACCACCAAAGCTGGAATTGAAGCCACTGCCCGCCCATCTCAGGTATGAGTTTCTAGGACCTAACTCCACATTACATATTATTATCTCATCTATTTTGTTTGATGTGCAGGAACAACAACTTTTGTAAGTACTCAAGGAGTGCAAGGCTACCATTGGGTGGACCATGACAGACATTAAGGGGATCAGCCCAGCATATTGTATGCATAAAATTCTGCTGGAAAAGGGACACAAACCTTTCAGAGAGCACCAAAGAAAGCTGAACCCCAACATGAAGTAAGTGGTGAAGAAAGAAGTGATTAAGTGGTTGGATGAGAGAATCATTTTTCCAATCTCTGACAGCAATTGGGTTAGCCCGGTGTAGTGTGTTCCTTAGAAGGGTGGCATGACGGTGGTCAAAAATGATAACAATGAGCTGATCTCTACAAGAACCGTCACAGGCTGGAGAATTTGCATGGACTACAGAAAATTAAATCTGGCCATCCGGAAAGACCACTTTCCACTTCCCTTCATTGATCAGATGCTAGACAGATTAGCAGAGAGGTCTCACTTCTGTTTTCTGGATGGGTACTCAGGGTACAATCAAATTTCCATTGCACCAGAGGACAGAGAGAAGACCTCCTTCACTTGCCCATATGGCATTTATGCTTTTTGGAGGATGCCCTTTGGCCTATGCAATGCACCCGCCACATTCCAAAGGTGCATGATGGCCATATTCACTGACATGATCGAAGACATAATGGAGGTGTTCATGGATGATTTCTCAGTGGTGGGAAACTCATTCGATGAGTGCCTTATAAATCTGACCCGTGTGCTGAAAAGATGTATTGAGACTAACTTGGTACTTAATTGGGAGAAGTGGCATTTCATGGTACAAAAGGGCATACTCTTGGGACACCGGGTATCGAGCAAGGAAATCGAGGTGGATCGTGCTAAAGTTGACGTGATAGCAAAGTTGCCACCTCCCACTTCAGTCAAGGCAATCAGGAGCATCCTCGAGCATGTCGGTTTTTACCGGAGATTCATAAGAGACTTCTCAAAAATTGCCAACCCTCTCTGTAAGTTGTTAGAAAAAAATCACCCCTTCTTATTTTCTGATGATTGCAGGGTAGCATTCGAGGAGTTGAAAAAGAGGCTAGTCATAGCACCCATCATTGTCGCCCTCGACTGGGAGCAACCATTCGAACTCATGTGTGACGCCAGTGACTATGCAGTGGGGGCAGTGCTGGGACAACGGAAAGATAAGCTAATGCACCCAATCTACTATGCCAGTAGAACGCTGAGTGGAGCAAAGCTGAACTACACTGTGACTGAAAAGGAGATGCTGGCTGTGGTGTTTGTATTCGACAAGTTCAGATCATACCTGATTGGCTCTAAGGTAATTGTATATACTAATCATGTAGCTCTCAGGTACTTGATTGAGAAGAAGGAGTCCAAACCGCGCCTGATTCGTTGGGTGTTGTTACTGCAAGAGTTCGACCTTGAAATTCGTGACAGTAAGGGCACAGAAAACCAAGTAGCTGATCATTTATCACGACTTGAAGGAGCTGAAAACTCAGTTGAGTTTGAAGATATTCTGGAAACCTTTCTAGACGAGCAGCTACTCGCTACAAGTCTTGAGGAAGTACCATGGTATGCAGAATTTGCAAATTACCTGGCAAGCGGTATAGTTCCCTATGACCTTTCCTCTATGCAAAAGAAAAAGTTTTATCGTGACTGCCACATGTATTATTAGGATGAACCTTAGCTGTTTCGAATATGTGTTGAGAACATGATCCGGAGGTGTGTCCCCGAGATAGAACAATCTTCTGTTTTGCAGGCATGTCACGCATCGGCGTATGGAGGGCATTTTGGAGGAGTCAGGACGGCAGCGAAAGTGCTAGAAGCCGGGTTCTTCTAGCCAACAGTGTTTAAGGATACACATCAATGGGTGAAGGGCTGAAATGAATGTCAGCCGGGAACATTTCCCGTCGCCATGAGATGCCCATGAACCCAATTCAAGAGGTTGAAGTGTTCGATATCTGGGGGATAGACTTCATGGGCCCCTTTGTCAACTCCTTTGGCAATAAGTACATACTTATTGCTGTAGATTACATGTCCAAATGGGTGGAAACTACAACTCTTCCCATTAATGATGCAAGAGTGGTGGTGGGCTTTTTAAAGAAGAACATATTCACCCATTTTGGG